AATAATAATAATAATAATAATAATAATAATAACAATAATACGTCAGATTACAGCAACTCCAAGAAATTGTGAAGGATTTATTGTCGGTAGCAGGTGTTACGTGACTGTTAGTTTATTTTTCTTCTGACTGTGCTCAGTTTTAATGTAATTTTTTGTGATTAACTTTTTTTATAAAACCATCTGCTGAAAAACTTGTCTTTTTTGGGATTTGACTGATGCTGAAGACAGTAAATTTATTAAAGTTGAAAACTTTATGATAGAATGCAAATGTCTTGGATAAAAAAAACAAACTCGCTTTTTTCGTGCTGCGAGAAAACGGTCGGCAACAAAAGTTGACTTTTGATACTTTTAGGTACCAAAGGTCGCGACATTAGCAAATGCCATCCAAATCTGTGCCAGAAAAGGAGCTTCATTACCGTCTTTCTCCACTCTGGAGGAAGAAGCCATTGTTTCCAGTACGTTTTTTGCTAAGACGCCAAGCTTTAATTTGCAAAGAATTATGCAAACTTTCCGAGAAGGCAGTTGTTACAAACACTTTTCTTTGACGAAATACACTTGAACAGAATAGCATCACGTGATGTAGTGGGCGACGCAAGCCAAGTTTACTGGGGAAGGTGTTCATAGTCATCGTCACAGTATGTTTCATGAGACTCTAATACAGTATGATTCCTGTTTATTGTAAATTAGTAATTAGGTTTGGGACAAGTAGAATTAAATAAATATCACTGTTTCAAGCAGCCGATTTCATTTTAGTTACTGCTGTCTGCAAAGATGCAGCAGAGTTTACTCATTCAACGAACCAACACAGTTACTGTTGTGGCTAACGGACAACTCCTTAAGTTGAAGAACTGGTAATTTAGTAATTCCTCCAACACTCGTTAGCGAGCCTTTCTTATGCTAAAATACTTTGAATATGGGCGTAACTAGCCCTTACGTTCCACAGCATCAACAAAAAGCTTCTTTTTTTATGGCTTGGTTAGATGTTTTGTCGGTAAATTGGGGCACAGAGTTTTAAAAACGCATTTTTCTTTGCTTGCCATTTCTTATTTGTTTGCCGCTTTTTCACCTAGAAAGAAGAAGCTTTTAAAGAATTTGTTTTAAGTAGCTTCTGCTGACGCGGGGTTAAAATATCTCCTGTTTAATTATATTATATGTAATTAAAAATTATTGCGTTTTAGGTATTTAGTTCCTTGACGACAGGTTTATTTTAGAATGCTAACGGAAATTAGAATGTTCCTTAAATATTCGGAATTAGTGATGTTGGCTGTTGAAATAACAGAAGATTTGTGACCATTTCTTACAAAAATGCTGTTTACTGCTTGGCTGCCGCTAGAATAACTTGCATTAAAATAATAAAAAAAGTACCTATTTAACTAAGGAGTGAATTTTGTCGCATTGTTTGGCAGTCGCGTTTTACGCATCGGCTAAAGATATTTCAAAGTTTCTGTTAAACCGTTCACACGATTGTTGTTTTCAACTACCACATATGTTTTATGGTCACTTTGTAAGGAATGTACGCATTTTTTACTTGGGGACTTAAGATCGTTCATCTCTCAGTTGCAAGCTACAATTTGTAGTTTAGGATTTAGAAAATATTTTGGTCGTCATAACTTCTCCAAAGACTTGTTATGCAAACCAGCGATAACTATTCAGATATGTCTCTAAACGAAATTTTCTGGTTGGGAATGGGGCTAAATAACGAATTTTTTTATTGGATGGACGGCAGTAATATAAATTACTTGGTAAAAACACTTAATAATAGAGAGGTGTTTTACATGAGTGAACCACGAACCGGTCGAATTGTTGCTTATCGGAATGCCTCAAGATGGCAGGAAATCCACGATAAAGGATTTGAATTCTCAGTTATTTGTCAGTACGAGAGTATGTTGGTAATCTTGCACTCTAGCTAGATATTATGCTGCTTTTTGAATACAACACATTTTTTAAGTAAACTTTTTCTATATTGCGTTATTGTTATAGTGATAGGTCAGTACAAAAGACAATGCAGAACAAGGACAATCAGGAGTCGTAGGGTTGAGTGCTACATGCAGGTGAGCTTGAAAGTTCCAGGTTCTGCACTGGCTCTTAATTTATAAAGTTATTATGACTTTTTTTTATCATTACCGCTAACCTAAAAGTTAGCTGTATTTTCTTCTTTTTAGAAGTAAATTAAAACATTTAAAACCATTGAAATAAAAAAATTTACATTAAAATATACGTTTTCAGATTTCTCAGTACTTACCCCCGCAAAACAATTACAGTAAGTCTTTCATCTGGCAGCACAGATGAGACAGAAATTAAGCGGTGTCGTTGTTATAAAATGACACATCGCAGTAGCCTATAATCTACGTAACATAAAACGGCGGTATTGTTTAAAGACGGCTATAACGCCTGAAAGATGGTACTTATCATAATCATTGAGAGAAGCTGATTTTGCAACGCTGTTTTTCTAAAGACCTCAAAATTAACGTTTTTAAGGCGTTGAAGACAACGATTGTCCACAGTACCCTAAGCTAGAGCGGTATTTTTTTCAGCCACCTAAAAGTATTTCTGTGAATAAAGGACAGCAACACTACTGTCTTTACGAAATTCAGGTGCTTAAAGAAGTTATGCATTGTTCCTTTCTAAATACAACTCCGTTACTTTTTTCCATACATTTATTTGAATACTGTGTAGAAAATCAGGTAAATTTAGTAAGTACACATTTGAAAAAGCATTTGGAAACAGGTTTTTACTGCAAAGTGTTCTAAGCTATTGAAAGGATCAAGCGCTTTTTTATTACAATGTATTTTATTTTCAGGTTCATAGTTCACTATTCAACAGAGTACAGAGAAATGAAGGCATTTCTTACGAGATGGCAGAGAAATTCTGCGTCTCTGAAATGTTAGGTTCACTTATTCAGCCCAGAAGTACCAGTGAGTTCAAACTTTTACATGGTAATGTCATTCCATTTCAAATTCTCCTGCTAACCAGATTTAATTACTGCCTTTAATCGTCTTTCACGTTTGTTGCAAAAACTACATCACATGCGAAATGCTAAAAAATAATTGGTTTTTGAAGTAGTTCTAGTTTGAAAAACCTGCTTATGTTTATGAACCACAGTCGTCCTAGCTGTGCGACATCGCAGTGAGGATGTAAAAATTAAAATTTATTATGCTTATCATTAAAGTAGTCTAGATCTGTTCTTAAAAAATATTTCTCAAATTGGACTGTCTTATCGCACGGAAGATATATGGCTTTTCGGAGAATTTGAAATAAACAGCACATCCTTTTCTGAAGATTACAAAGGCGAACCGAAATTTAAGGCTTGGAAAAGGCCAGGTGAGGATAAGGAGATCTTACGGGCTAGTGGGCGTGCTTCCTGTATTTTTTATGTACCAAGAGTAACTTGAGCGTACCTTTGCAAACTTAAATTACTTCATTTTGGTTGACTTAAATGTAGAATTTAGGAGATCAATTATGTCATAAAAACTGGATATATCAAGATGGTAACTGTTACAGAGTGGTACGTTTTTGCTAAGGAAGTTTTATAATGTTTTCCGAAAAGTAGTCATAGTGTTGGCAAAAGGGGGTTTATCCAATACTAGAGGAAGGGCATAGTAAGACGAAGTCTCAGTACAGTAACTGAATAGCAACCAATATCAGAATGATATAAAGAACTCTTCTATGGACCTCTAGCAAACACAGATCAGGTATAATGGCACACGGAGAAAAAACTGCCACTCTTATCGCTGGGAAATATAATGGTCTTCTATTACAAAATCCGAACTGTAAGAACATCAAAACAATAAAGCCTCAAGTCATGCAATATTTCTTATTTTTCAGCTTTCAACGGAGCTTTTAATCTTTGGTCACTTCAGATACACAAACAGCATGTATTAATGAGAAATTTATCCTAGCATATCCTGTACTAGTTCTCACTGGCACGCTATTGGTCCTTATTGCAACAGATTCAAAAATAATTCAAACCTCTTGGAAAAACCACGGCTTGAAAGGCTGCCCTGATACCGTTCTTTATTTTACAATTGTGCTCTATGGCCACACTTTTTGAAAAACGCAGAAAGTTCCTTTATTAAGATATCTAATGGCAAAAAGAATATCCATGAAACAACTTTATAATAGTAACTCTGGTTGCTAATACAAAATGTATCGCGAATTTGTCAATCGCCAGTAATGCAGAATTCTGATAGATATTTGTTACAGGACTTAACTGCGTGTGCTTTGTGATTATCCTTCGTACTGCACTCTTTTCTTCATTACGGTTTATTTTTTTTTCGGCAATTATCTACTTCGGTCATAAAAACTTAGATCAAAAAAGCACAATTTTATTCCTCAGTAATATTTCGTTCTGCGATATTAAATTGCACAATATTTTTACTCCTACTCTTTTGAGTGCTTTTTTTTTCCAAAATTTGTGTTATTGAGATAAGAGTGGTAAGACAAGCTTAGAGAATTATCAGCCAGTGAGAAATTGTACTTTGGTAAGTCTCAACTCTAGCGTAACTGTATTAATCTTTAAAACTGTGGTTAGAAGAAAAGTACTGTGAACGTTTATCCTGTGACCACAAGGATACCAGCGCTATTGTTAAGTGAAGGTTTGTTTCTGCAATGGTTAAAATTTAATGCAAGAGAAGATAAGAAAGTTAGTTTAAGCAAGCGGATGAAGACTCTGAATTAAACGTATTAGAAGTGAAGAAGCTGAAAATACAGCATAAACTCGATTATGTAAAATTTGATTTTATGAAATTCTAAAATTTAACGTTTGGTTTTGTGAAAATAAGGGAGTGTTGTAAGCTGGTAATAAACTAGTAATAAACTACGAATTAACTTTTTTAGTCTATCATTCACAAATTAAACTTTGCTGTTTGCTTCTCAGCATTTCTGAATTCTGTTTTCAGTTTGATTCAGGTGGTGAATTTTCGCATCGTTCATTAAAAAAAGTCAAATTGCACTGTATTTTCAATTAAAAGGTGGCAGAGCAACTTTCTTGATGATTATGCAGATACGGAGTTCTGTAAAATGAGTAGGCAAATGTATCAGCGTTACAAAACAGCATTCCTTAAAAAGATACTTTGCTTAGTTCGTAGAGTAGGTTTTTAAATTATAAAAAAGGTTTGCTCAAGAAAACTGTATATAACATAGTTAAAGGTAGGAAGCATGTTGGGTATTCTGTAGTTGCAAAATCAAGTAGAATTAAAGTTTAGTGTTTTTCTCAAAGCCCAAATTTCCATTTTCAAAGAAATTTACTGAATTATGACGAAATATGACGGAGGCGGCATAGAACGAAAAGAAATAATGGACATACACAGTCAGCCAATCTAACTGACAGCATTTACTTATTGAAAGTTTGCACTTCTTCTCCTTCTGCTGTGAGTGGTTATAAAAAAAGATTACCATGAATTCCACAAACACTATTTCTGGAATTTATTTAGGAGATGCATCTACAGAGTAAAGTAAATATTCTTTCATTGTAATTCCAATTTTTAAAAATTCTTCCTTTGGACGTTACAGAATTGTAGCTAGATAGCGTAGTGTTTGGTGTTGAAAGAAGACGAATTTCTTCCCAAAGCGCACTTTTGCGGGATAGATCAGCGACTGTAAAAAAAGCGCTATCGGTCCTTTGACAGCGGCGGGAGGTTGTCACAAATATGCTGGGAGTTTTAGAGCTTAAGGTGATGGAAGCTACAAAGTAAATTGGTCAGCCTCAGTTTAATTCTAATAGTTCCAGTGAACTGTAAGGATACTTGTCGCGACCGACTGCGACATCCATGCTTTATTAAACACTTCCAATGGTTTCTCAGAGGATGAAATATTCGCCAAGCATATAAATTTTAAATATTTTAAAGCGTGAAAGTAATTAAGTTAATTAACTCAAATAAGATTTATCGGAACAAAGGTGGTCATATAGAAAGCTAAAAAAATAAAATAACTCTTTTTGGAGGCCGCGTTAAATTTGTATTCAAATAACGATTCTAAACTTCGATGTCTTGACGGCCTAGTTTCATTTCTTCGTGCCCTTGTTCGGCAGCTTTGAGCTTTAGATTTAAAGTAAATTCGACTATTGGTTTGAGCATTGGTTCTTTGACTTCATGCTTCTCTTTTTTTTTTTGATCATCAGCGAGCTTCTTCAGTTTTCTTCCAGTTAAGTTTTCCTTGTATTTGATTTATTAAGTACAATATTTCCTTCAGCTCGACTGTTGTAGTATACTTTACGCGAAGGAAGTAAAATTAGCTTGTCAATTCTCTTGCAGGATAGAAATTTAAGCAATAAGAAAGAGAGTTAGATTAGTAACGTGAGGAGAGCAGACTAAAAAAAAGACAGAATTTGGAGGTGAGACTTTCCTACAAAAATAGTTTTTCCAAAAACAAGGTAACAAATCTCTAATGAGGCAAACTGACATTATTTCCAAGACTTTAAACTTCATTACTGACAGGTTTTATATGCACGGTTTTCGTTCATTCATAGCTCAGTGAAATTGAAGACTATTATTAGAAGTAAGCATTGATGATTAGAGCAAAGCAAATTGGTAGGTGGCGGTCGAAAAGTTTCCGTGAAAAAGGCAGTGGACAAAACAGTTTCAGAAAGACCGGTGTGAGTTGCAAAAAATTTCAACTTTTGATTCGTTTTCAAAAACCAAACTTAATAGAACCCAGATGAACCCTAGTACTTTCTAAGCCTGACCGAACTCAGCATGTGCTTCCTTTGCAGTTCCTTACCTATTATAATCGCAGTGAAGCAAAATTATTATGTGAAAATATGCCAAACACTCACTTACCCTACGACATCAAATCCGTGGTTGCCATAATAAAAAGTAGAAGAATTTCCGGTTAGTCATTTTTTTTTGTTTTGAACGCATGTTAAAAACAATAGAAGAGAACATGCCGTTTGCGAATCAGAGATTCAAATAGTGTGTTTAATCCTTACAATTCAGTTTTTTCCACAACGTCTGATAGGTTGCTTACTTATCTTTCAATGTTTTGTACATGAACAAAAAAATTTTTTTCAATGGTTTGATGTGCCGAAATTGATGCTCATAACTATCAGATGCACTCTCAACTGTCTAGTGGAGGTGATCATTAGATGCGCCGTTTCTTGAAAGCGTCATTGGCTATATGCTTAGGTTTCTTCAGTTTCCACACAGTAGCTTTCTAGATTCTGCTGCGTCTCAAAAGTCTGGTGTAAAGAGCAGTGAAAGTTTAGGATCTTGTTCACAAAATAGCACAGTTCATAACACAAACAAACCTCTTATAGACTCTGCAAAACAAGTAGAAAATAAGTTAAACAAAGTTGAAAGAAAAATTTTGGCACTCCTGCACTTTGACGGCTCCAGCGCACTGATTGGTTGATTGCGTCTCTGTGGGAAAGTTGAAG